GCCACCCAGGCGCCCCGTAAATGTTTATTTATTTTTTGAGAGAGAAAGAGAGAAAGACAGAACGTGAGCAGGGGAGGGGCAGAGAGAGAGGGAGACATAGAATCTGAAGCAGGCTGTAGGCTCTGAGCTGTCAGCACAAAGCTAGACGCGGGGCTGGAACCCATGAGCTGCGAGATTATGACTGGAGCTAAACACGTGCTTAACTGACTGAGCCATCCAGGAGCTCCAATAATAATTATAATAACAGTCAACTCATATAGTGCTACTATTCTAGGTACTTCTTTTTTTTAATGTTTATTTTTGAGAGAGAGAGAGAGAGAGGGGGGCAGAGACAGAGACAGAGAGACAGAGAGTGTGGGGGAAGGGCAAAGACAGGAGACACAATCTGAAGCAGGCTCTAGGCTCTGAGCTGTTAGCATGCAGCCTGACATGGGGCTCAAACTCATGAACCCCGAGATCATGACCTGAGCCGAAGTCAGACACTCAACTGACTGACATACCCAGGCGTCCCTATTTTAGGTACTTCTAAGCAGATTCTACAAATCACCTCATATAACTCCCAAAACCCAACGTGGAGAAAGAGGACTTCCTGTTCTAGTGACATAAAAGGGTCGAGTGTTTCCACAGAAAACAAGTACACAATTGGAAAATATTAACAAAAACAATTCCACCACAATGGAAATCAACCAAGGCAACACAACGATTTAAGAAGCATTTATTCTTGAAAAACTGCTAGCGATTCAGGTAAGGAAAACAGCAATCGGCGACCTTTTTGCCTGGGGCTACTCCCAACCTCCCTGCCAACCTCAACTTGAGAATGGCACCGGAAACCAGTTTTGCTGCGAGAGGCGGTAGACTCAATTTGGGATAGAAGCAGAGGGCAAAACCCCCTGGTTTCCACAATGTAAAACAGTGGGTTTGGTTTAGAATAAATGGGGGAAATGCACAGCTTTGCAAGCCTGAGGTTGCAGTCCAAGTTTGGGGTAACAGGTAGATGAGCAGGATTTCAAAGAGAATTCCTAGCAGTTGAAGAGCCATGGAAAGTCTAGATAGCTCTCTCCAATCTCTGGCTAACTGAGGAACTATGCAAGCATGCAAGAGATGTTGAGAAAGTCTTCCTGCACTACCTTGATTTTTGAAAACGTTGTTAAAAAGCTGTTGTCCTCATATTCTTGAATTTCAAGAATACGTTTTAAATTTTTTGGACGATTTAAAAATTTTAATTATTAAATATAAAATCTATTTTAAAAACATTTTTGAACATCAGAGACAAAGCTTTCTAAGGTTTTTGTGTTATTTTGTGGAAGGGTAAAGTTATTAACTTCATTGTCATCTACTATTGATTATGCATTTAAAATTTTCTAATTAATCATGACAATAATAGGAATAAAGTGTAAATATTTCACACCATTAAGGAAATGAATTGGAATGGAAAAAATAAACAACCCAAGCAGTAAAAATGAAGGCGAGAAAAGCAGGAAAACAGAAATACTAGATTAAAAAGCCTCCTCTAATTTTTATAATTTTTATAATGAATAAACACTGAATTTTCCTAAATGTTCTTTCTGCATCTCTTAAGATGTTAGGTTTTTATCCCTTGATCCTTAATATGGTGCATTGCAGGGGCGCCTAGGTGGCTCAGTCAGTTAAGTGTCTGACTTCTGCTTAGGTCATGATCTCATGGTTTGTGAGTTGGAGCCCTGTGTCAGGTTCTGTACTGACAGCTCAGAGCCTGGATCCTGCTTCGGATTCTCTCTCTCTCTCTCTCTCTCTCTCTGTCTGCCCCTCCCCCGCTCACACCCTCTCTCTGTCTCAAAAATAAATAAATGTTAAAAAATTTTTAAAAAATATGGTGATTGCACTTCTGGCATAAAAACCCTGTGTGGTGGTCAATTCAGTCTGCAAACCCAGGACTCCAGCAAAGGTAAGCAGATACCTTCCAGAGAGATTCTGGCTCCAAGTTTCTGTATCTCTCTCAATTTCAGTTTTATTTTTATTTGGATGGGTTCTAAGGACATCAGTTTCTTTTTTTCTTTCTTTCATTTTTTGTTGTTGCAAGCAAAGTACTCTTCATTACTTGTTACAAGCAAGGAGACAGGGAGATAGTTCTTGAAGCACTGTCTCTGTCATTTTCTTGTTAGCAATATTTCACCCAGCAATTTATTTATTTATTCATTTTTACCATGAGATATTTCTTTAAGTTTATCTCGTTCACCACTGCATTGGAAACAGCAACCAACCATGCAATGTTACAAGTCAAACAAATCTGGCAGTATTTGCTTTACTCAAAACGTGTGTACCCTACACAACTATCCTTTGGAAATTATATTATCAAAATGATCCAGGATTCTAATTTGCTAAAGCCAGGCTGCCTGTGTTCAAATCTTGGTTCTATCTTATCTAACTATAGGAGTCAGATATTATCACTCAATTCCAGAAATGTAAATTGAGAACTTTATATAGATCTAAAGTTTACTGTCTGTGTGCAACAAAATATTCAGTAGAGCATGGTGGCAGAAAGTCTATTAAAAAGGGAGAAATTGCAGTCACTAATTCAATTCTGATAACAGGTTTATGACAGATAGATTCCAGGTGACGGGTTCATGTTTGGGGCGTAGTGTTGCTTATTTTAATTAAAACTTTCTTAGAGGAGAGTGTGTTTTGGTCAATTGGATTTTTTGGGTTCATTGAAGATAAAGGCTTCAAGTGAACTTTTTCAAACTTTTTTGAAAAGGTAGTATACTAGGAGGTGCTCGCATGCAGTGGGGAAAATGGGTAAAGAATCAGAACAGTTTTAACTCTACTGCTTAGAAGCTGTGTGATCCTCAGTTTCCATATGTAGCAAAGGAGAGTAGTCACCTCTAGTTAGGAAGATTGTTGCAGGAGGAAATAGGATAATCCATGTCAAATGCCTGGCACACAGGAGGGATTTCAGAATTCTTACTCCCCTCCTCTCTTCCTTGCATCACTGAATATCTAATATATCTATTTGTTTTCTTTTCTGAATAAATACATTCAAAGTGGAATTTAAGTATTCATTTATTCATTCATTCAAAACTATCCTCACTAAATAATTTTAAAGCAACTACACTATGCCGGGACATGCTAGCTCTGAGAAAATCATGACAATGAGATAGACATTGTTCCTATTTTCAGATGGCTTATAGTTTTGGGATTTATATCTTACTGTGCTTCAGTAATTGTCCATAGAGAGGGGCAATTCTCATCATTTGAAGTCTCCAATTAGATGGATCTGACAATATTTTAGTTTGGCCATCTGGGTCTCGTACTGCATTATATTTTTTATTGAGTGACAATAATGTATTACAAAGATCCTCTGTAATGGCTAAGGCTAGCTACATAATTACAGGTCCCCATATAAAATAAAACTGAGACTGAAAAATTTTTAAGAATTTCAAGATGATGATAGTAGAGGATTTAAGTACAGGGCCATTCTGAGTGTGTGTGTGTGGCGGGGGGCGGGGGGGTGGTGCTGTGCGAATACAGGAAGTGGCCCTCATGATAGCTGTATAGAGCCACCAAAGCCTGGGAAACTCTATTTCTTCTCAACGAAGATCAGACTTTTAGGAAAATGTAAGTTACACAGTCAGATGAAGACATTAGAATGGTATTTCTTTTATTTCCTAATAGCAGAGGTGGAGAAATAATGTGACACCATTAAGTAGTTATTTAATTAAATGAATATATACTGAGTGCCTATGATATGCCCAACACTGTGCTACGAGCTAAGGAATATACTGGAAAACATAACAGCCCATGTCCCAACTTGTGTGAATCATATGTTCCCCTGTGGAAAACAGATGATAAACTTTAAAAGGAATAAATAAATATCATCAATTACGGACTAGTGATACCACTTTGAAGCAACTGAACTGGGCCCTAATCAGAGAAAAATAGGACAGACGACATACTTGTCATGGTCAAGGAGGGCCTCCTGGTGGAGCTGCCTACCATGAAGGTTTAGAGCACTGCATTGGGGAGAAAGAGTGAATTCTAGCTCCTTCACTTACTAGCTGTGGGATTTGGGGCAAGTCACATCACTGTCTTCTGCCTCAGTTTCCTTATCTGTAAAAGGGGAATAATAATAGTATATACCTTATAAGGTCCATGTGAAAATTGAGTTAATTAAGTGCTATTTTTCAAAATAAAAATAAATACATACTACAAACTGTTAGCCAAGGAGGACTCAGCCTTGCAGAAAACTCTAAGGGGAGAATCTTTGGCTGAAGAAACAATCATCGCAAAGGCTCTGGGAGTATTTCAAGAAGCTGCCAGAGGCCACCGTGCAGGGAGTACAGCACCTGAGAGACACAGGGCTATGGACAGGAGCGAGCATGAGGGGAGATGGGGGCCAGATTTGAAATCAGAAAGCTAATTTCCTGAACAAAGATAATGACTGCTACAAATTCACATATCTTGTAAACAAAAACAACGAATGTACTTGAATCAGAAAACATGTCAGAAATGGCTAACACTAGCTTCCCATTTGTTTCCTTTAAGGGAAGGCTTACAAATGATTCTTTCCAATGCACGAATGGAACTGTCACCTGAAGAAGTAACTTAGTAAAATTGAACAAAAAAACACACCCAAGTCTCTGACACTGAGTGTTACATTCCTAATGCAACACAAAAGCCATGTGCAAAGCCTAAAACACAGGCTCAAAAGCACTTCCAGAAATTAACAGGAGGTTAATCTGTCACATAAAGTTTTGTCACCATTTTCTTGCCCCATCCTTTGCATTCATGTCACTGCCACCCACTGACACAGATTTCTGCAGTCCACATGACATAAACACAGCAGAATCTCTTCAACAGATAAGCCAACCTTGTGATGAATAATCAAAGGGTAGCCAATTCCAAGCACAGCCAAAAGTTTGTGTATTTCATAAAAGAAGAAATCTAGGGGGAAAAAGTACGAAATCCCAGAGGAAGAGTTAAGACAGAAAGAGAGAGTAGTAAGGCTTTATAAACAACTATACCTTGTGCAGCTAACTCTTTCCACCTCTCTTTGTTCTGCTGGATGATGTCCACCAGGTTGTTTTTGAAGCTTTTCAGGTCCACGCTTGCAAGGGAGTAGTCTGGGGAATAGGTTCCATCGTTCATGGTGCCCTTCATATTTGATCGTCTAAACAAATCAACACTGGGTGAACCCAATAAAGGTGCATATGCTAATAGTAACAACCAAAAAAAAAAAAAAAAAAGCCCAGAAAACACTAATGTCAAGATATGGAATGAGGGAGCAAAGCCTGAAACACTTCACAAAGCCAGCTGCAGAAACAGGATGGCAGGTGCTCAGGCCCAGTTTTGAGCATGCATCAGGGCTGCTCACATCCCTCCTTTTCTCCCATCATGGAGAGGGCCAGGACTCCGGCTGGAACTCCCTGGGTTGGTCAGAGCAGCAGGTTGGAGTGCTCTTGCATTATAAGGTGGCTAGGTCTCATTAGAAAAGCAGATACTTGAGGTGAGCTGACTTGGTGGTGAGTTCACAGGTGAACATAACAAATGGGGCATCACGTTCTGGAGCCCTAAGTGGGGCCAACCTGAATCATTTTTAGGAAAACATTTCCTCAATTTCCTCATTGGGGCAACATTTTGGGAACCTAGTGTTGTGCTATTAGGAAAAGTTGTGTGTTCAGATAGACAAGAATTTAGCATGATTAATCTACAACTGGAAGTTTTAAATAATATCCCTTAACAAATTTGTCAATGAAAAATGTTTAGCTTGAAATATTGTGATCGCATATACAGTGGATGCTACTGTTACCGTTAGATGTTACATGGATCTGTTGTACTCACATCATCCACAAGCTTTATTTTGATATAGGCATCTCTCTAGATCTACAAGTGGGTTGTAACTGGTTTGTTTGTAAGCAAACCAACACAACTATATATGTTAACATCCAAGACACAATACATACATTTGCACAAAAGTCAGATATTTAATTCTTCTGGTATTGAATACTCTTGTGTTATATTCATTAGTACTTTGATATATTAGTTAGTTAGTACTTTGTTAGTACTTTGATATATTTTGTAGTGGACTTGAAGTGAATTTCAAAGGCAGGTGCAATATAATAGAGAGCCACTAGGTGGCAATACTATCTAATAATTCTAAGAATTTCCAACCTAGCTATAAGAGATAATGAAGATAATCAAAAAAAAAAAAAAAAAAAGACGCAAAAAAAGAGAAAATACCAAACCTGCTTGCCCCATAGGAAGGAGTTTCTGTTTTCGAGGCTTCCTCTATAAGAGGAGTAATAATTTTCTCTGTTGAATCTGTCAGAAGAGAAAATGTTGGCTCTACTATGAAGTCAATGAAACCTACAAAAGCAAAAAAAAAAAAAAAAAAAAGAGAGAGAGAGAGATGAATTGAAACACTACAATTTTCTGAACTCTAAAATCTGTAATAATGAAGAGTCTGATGCATCAGGTAGAAAGCATCAGCTACATACTGGTTTGGTTTACCCACTGAAATTATTTTTAACCCAATAACACAATCTTTAGAGATAGTTTAACAGCTCTATAAAATGATCTCTCAAGCAGTGGAAGTGATGCAATTTAAGCTTGATAAGTATATTGGCTTTTCTATTTAATATTCAGTTTTTATACTCTTGTTTACAATAAATTCAAGTCTAACCAGACTTGATTATATTTTCCTCTCAGTGACAGGGATCATTACTTTTCTGAAACGATTCCACTTGTTTGTTGAATTTATTATTGACCAACAAAAAATAATATCTAAGCTTCAAAGAAACAAGAGAATTGAAGTTGCTTCTCAGGCCACAGGAAGGCACCCACTTTTTTGCCCCCTCTGACTATATCAGTCAGAGCTTCCTGCCCGTGTGTTAATATTTCAAATTGCTGTTTATTATTCTCTGGATGTAAAGCGTTAGTTCACAGCACGTGGGTGTGTTCTGTCAAATCAGTAAAGAGAACAGTAACATCTCTGGAAGACAGCATTATTTCCACCACCTTGAGATGTCAGGATTGAATACAGACTTTAAATTTAAAGTACTCGTCAAGATACGAAATGACACACAGAGAGAATGGGGCAATGCCCAATGTTCATGGGGAGAAGGAGACAACACACTCTAAACTGTGTACACATTTCAACACTACGTGTCCCTGGAGAGGTATGGCACTGGAAATCAAGTGCTTGTGGTCTTAAACACACCTGGGAGCTATGGACGATCATCTGAATATAAGAGAAAATTGGAGGGAAGCTTTTAAAGTGATACTGTACCCAGAAAGATCCACATTTGAAGAGTATTCCATCCATCAGATACACAGATAAAAGGAATTCGCATTTTAAGTAACTGGCTTAGTCATGTAATACATTAAGGTGCATTTTTAATTCAAGAAAACTTCAATAGTTTTGTGTTTTAATTGATACCTTCCACTCAAAGCAATGTTCATTGGCCACCAGTAGGCTATTTCAAGTTCTGTCTGTAGTTTTCAATGCCTGGAATTCGGAGACCGTCAAATGAGGTGTCACCTTGCTAACAGGGTAGCAATTTATATTACAGCAACAAGCCTCAGACACCTCCATTCTTTCCAGTTTCCCTGAGGAGGTCCTTAGCCTGTTATGCTCACAGCTGCTAAACAATGGTAGGTACCAGTGTTATGGTGCCTAGAAAAACAGCTGTTGGAACTTGGATGGGAAGGGGCAAAGGTCAGAGCGAGACTCTTTCTGACAGTTGACTACTGCTCTGTTGGAGGTGGTACTGGAGCAGCTAGAGAGGTAAGGCGGCAATCCTAATGTTTATTAATCTTGCAGTTCAGTAATGAAGGTGCTGGCTCAGGGGATAACCATTACAAACATTTGGAGCATGCAGCATAGCAACCATATGTTATAATAATGGGTTGAACTTGTTGGTTTATCTTCTTATATCATAAGAATTTTTTTCCAAAGGAATGTAAACTGGCATATTGAATATATTATGCAAACAGTGATAACGGGACAGATATATTAACATTTTCATTGAATTGTTCTATATGCAAAGGATTACATTACAGATTACAATAATCAGCAACACAATACAAAAAAAAGCTGTCTCTTAAACAAGAAGAAAGCCTGTCATTTGTAAGAAGGTTGTAAATAGAATAACAATTACATTTACTAATACTGCTTGATTGAATTCATTTTGTGAGAATTTTTCAAAATCCTTATCATTTAGCACCATATAGATCAGTCTAAACATCAAATTTGTTAGGAGTGTGAAGTTTCATGGATGTTTGCCCCTTTAAACAACATGGTTTCTCCATTTGAAAACTGGCACACACGTGCCCACCCTCCACAACAGTACCTATTTGTGACTGGGCCACCATCGTTGACTTCCGGTCACAAAGTGGGGAAAATGGAAGTCCTAACTCAGCTTCTTTATCTCCCTGTGGAAAGGAAAGCTCATTAGTACAGGCTTAGTCTGGAGAGGCTTAGACGACGAGCAGTCTAGATACAAAGCCTAAAAAAGTTGCATCTTTCTTTTCTTAATTGACACTGTGTATTTATTTATTTATTTTTTTATGAAACAAAAAAACTATAGTCCAAGTTGGTGTAATTTTACTTGGTCTCCTTTTGAGGACATACTTATTGCTGAAGAAAAAGAAATGAACATTTCAGCACCTGGAGACTCTGCTTTGGTATTACAATCCCCTTGATTATAAAGAGACAAACCTTTGCTCTTTGGAATTTTCTGCAATTGCCATAAAATAGTCATCTCAGTGTGTTATTTGGCATTTAATTAACAATCAAGTTCTTGGATTCTCATGCTTTTTGTCCCCCCAGGCTAAATACATCACAGATCTTCACTATGAAGACTTCATGAGTATATTATTTTTTGAAGTCAAAAGTATATGAATATTTTGAAACATCTTTCCACTTATAAAACAACATTAATTGAATCTCCCACAGCAAATGAAGAGTATCTTCAACATCCTTACATTCTGTGTGCATCATTTTAACGTATTCTCAGAAAATGGAAATGTTAATGATTTTTATTACTTGATCCTATCCACAGCAAGTTAATTGAGTACATATGTTAAAGAATTCCATGTACGTTTGGGTTTAACATCACAAGAACTGATTCGATTTTCATCTCCTAAAATAAAAGTGGCTGCTCTGGGCAGAACCTTATTATCACAAGATTTATCCAACATCGAACATAGGTTCTTTCCTTGGCATTCAAGGGGATGTGCTTACAAAAGAAAGAGAAGCTACTTCACTTGTGTCTCTTCACCTTGATCTTCTGGCTATTTGAAGGATGCCTTGGGCTCTATCTTCTCCTAAGCTGTTGGCTGTATACCTTCACAGAACACACGGTGACTTATGTAAGACCACAGTTTAGGACACGTGGCCAGGTTCTCGAATCAGAAGACAAAAGGGAGGGACCATCACTTTTGCTGTGTTGTGGAGCCCATGTAACAATGCAGTGTCTGTCTTGAGGACCTCAGATTTTCAATCCCTCTGCTTCCTTTAACACCTTTTCATTGTGATCTTTACAATAACATGTCAGTATGTTTTATTGGCTTTAAAGTTATTCATTGACAATGTTTTCTGGTGCATTTCCTTGAAACCATACCTCTGATCATAAGAAGCAGGAAGTCTGAAATCAGAATTGTTTGGGGAAAAATCTGGATATGGTCACCAGAGAAGTACGCAAAGTAGCTGTAAACAGGAATATTTGACTACGTCATAGCTTAGAGAAAATGGGGAGTAGAATTTCCGTGACCTCTCCCAGCAGCTGTGCTCCTTCCTTAGAGAATAACAACACCCATTCCATTTGGAGTTAATATTTACACCCAGCTTAAGGGACAGAGGGAAAGGAATTATTAGTGCCATTAGCCTCAGAGTTACAAGATACACACTTCAATCACTGCTTTTCATCTGGCTCTCTTTTATTTCAGACATATCACAAACTTGATGGAATGAATTTTCCTCATATGTTACCTCACTTGGTAATTTTGGTTAACTCAAGTTAGTAATAAAGATATAATAGTATCTACCTAGTAGGACTATCCTGAGGTTATCAAAGATAATTTATGTGAAGGCTACACTGCCTAATATTTAGTAAATGGTCATTCAATATTAGCTAGTAAGAACCATACTTCATACAGGTGAAGAGGATTAAAAGTACACTTACCATGATGAGCACTGAGCTCCGTATAGACGTGCTGATTCACTATATTGTACACCTGAAGCTCATATAACACTGTATGTTAGCTATCCTGGAATTAAATTTTTTTAGAAAGAACCATACTTCATAATAGCAAAGATACAGAGCTGTGAGGTATTTATAATGTCTAATGCATATCTTAGATGGTTTTAAACCACGGGATAAATGACTGGTACTTAATTGAGCATGTAATGGAGAGGCATTGGCTCCCCACCCCTGTCCTCAGGACCTCCCCAGTTTTCTAGCAGGAAACTGACAAGACAGGACTTTTACTTTTGAAATATTGATTTGTCAGCAGTGTGGGGGATTGCTTGAAGTGAATTAAACATGAATCTTGGGCTTCAAACCTGAATGAAAAGGAGTCTTTGGTGCCACTAATAGAAATAAGGCAATCTGAATGAGGGCTGTATTTGAAGACTATTATGCATTTGATCTTTAACATAATGAGAATAACGTGCAAGAATAATATCATTGTTTATATTAAAATATAAATGATAATATTGCTATTGTTAAAATAGAAATAAAGCTCCTCATAGACTTCATGGGAAATGTGATATTGTAGACACTTATCTGATCTATGCCTATATAACTGGTTTTATTGATTAGGGGGCTGCTATCTGATATTTTAATATGTATATTTTTATACTATATAATAGGAGTTCTTTGTTTGATCTAAAAATGATAATTTGGGCCTGAAAAAGGCATTGTGGTGATTTCCCTTCTATGAGCTAAATTTTATAGAATGCTAGAAGGCAACATTTTCATATAGGACCTAGGCACTTGACAGATACATATCGGGTCCACCACCCTATATTTGGAGGGAGAAATTTTATATTCTATTCGCTTCTTATATTCCACAATTGAATTAGGGTATTAAATGTCTACTGCTAAAGCACATTGAATACTAAAGCACATTAATTATTTAATTTATTTATAAATATTTCAAGGTGTTATTCTTTAGGGTGAATTGAGACCATGAGGGCAAGATTAGTAGGAGGCCCTATAGCCAGACTATGGGGGCACCACAAACCCAGTACGACAGGGGGGTACTACTAGGGGAGAGAGAAAGATATGTAAAGAGAAAGTTGGGATCCCTGAGTATAAATTTAATAAACGCTAAAATTTTCCTTATTGGGTCCCTGAATTGGGAGCGTTTACTCTCCCTAACGATGAAATCTGGGGTCAAGGCAACAGACATTGTGTAAGTCATCTAGTTTTCTCTTGGAGGATGTGCTTTCATTTGAGGTTGCTGCCTTCAGGAGGCCAAAATATACTTTCAAAAATCAGTAAAATACCAAATATATGTATGTTCTGGTGTATTGACTTGTACAGTGGTTGGAATAAAATTACAGGGCCCTAAGGCCACTGACCCCAATTAACCAATGTCACCCAATTGTGCTCCTGGATCCCTGAATCTTTTCTTGGGGATGACCTTGCAGGTGGGAAAGGGGAGAAAGTGACCCCAGAAATGTGGAAACACAAGGCAGCCTGATGTGCTCAGACTTGTCCCTGTATCAGCAATTCCCTTGGAGGCCGTTGAGGTTGCTTCTTTGAAAGGCCATGACAAAGACCAGTAATATTTTTATGCTTTCCTAACAGTATGAAATGCTCTGGTAGTGGTCAACAAGTTGTCAAATCCAGTGACTTAATGGCACTTTTTTTTTTTTTTTTTGCATTTTGTCTGAAGCCAAAGAATTTCTATAGCTTTCAAAAACTGAAGACAAAATGGTGAAGTATAGAAATCTTGAGAACCTTCTTGCATTGAAAACAAGTTTTAATCACAGAAGCAACACCAACAACAAACATACAGGAAGCTCCTGACCACAGACTTGGGGGCCACTACAAGGCCAAGGGTGAATTTGAGGGGTCACAAGTTCTATAGGGACATTTAACTGAGGGAGAAGGGGAAGAAGCGATAGTTTACAATCTTTGGACAACTTATTTAAGGGATTTAAGCCATCTAATTACCTTCTTTCATTCTTGCTAAAAATTGTCCTTCTAAATTCCAGGAAGCCATCAAAACTGTTTAAATGTTTAATGATTACTATAGCTAACATATTCACTTGCAGCAAGATTTATATTGTATGATTGTATTTTGTGAGTTATAAATATTGTATAGGACATTAGTATCCTTGCATGCCTCTTAAAACTATGAGCTTTGATTTTTAAATTTTAAGTTATTATACGGGCTCATAGCTGTGGTTCTTTATATTTATCAATTTTTGGTGGTGGTCGTGTCTGAATTTTTGATGCCAGATCCTTGGCTGAGGTTGCCCTAACTAAATACATTACCAAATAATACATTCCCCATATTACTATGGGGAATACAATCTATTTTGAAATAACACACTTCACACTACTTCTTGTAATTTTGAAGAACATAAAGGGGACTGACAGTATACAATTTAGGATAAAATAATCGTTTTGTCCTGCTCCCCAAAACTTGTAATTCCAATTATTTGTTTCCCCTTTTTTGAAAAGGTAGTACCTATTGGTAAATATAGATTTTACATAACTGTTCATTTTTTTTTCATGTAACACAAAACAACCAGCTGAAAAAGGAAAAATTCACTTAGTTATTAGGTTTGTATAATATGAAGCAGAAACAAATTTTAGTAGCAGGAAGTATTTCTTTTAACTTTATTTGTATTAACTTCTTGTTATCTTGCCAACACCAAGAGTTTGGGTGACACTGATGAAATTTTAAAGAGTAATGCAAATAACTTGGTTTGCATTGATTTCTCCTCCAGAAATACGGTGTGTTTTAAAAATTCTTAATACCTATTCTTTTGTTGGAGAAAATGAACTTAGTAGAAAAATTAATAAGAAATTGGCTTAGAAGTCAACACATCTCAAAATTCCTCTGGATTTTTCTGAAACATTAAGTGATATGTATGTAAATATATGTATGTACACACATACATATACACATATACGTTTCTGTGTGTGTAAATTTATACGTGCGTACATGCACACATATATGCACACCTCCAAAAGGCTAATATATGGGATATGGCAGAGTAAGAGTACTGGGAGATTCATTTAGTTAACTGAATGCACAGAAACATTTTAGCTGTTGGCATCAATGTCATACATTAGCATAAGTCTCATAAAGATAAACTTGTTTTGCTTGTAACCATGTTTGTTGGTAGTACAGACTCACTTGTTCTGACCTTTCACATCACATTCTCCTGTTTTGCTCTATATATTTCTGCA